AGGTGAAGTCCAGCTACCCACACTGTCTGATGATCTCCATGCACATCAGGATGGCGTCCTCCTTCTCCCCTCGGGCGTAGCGGATGTTGGCCTCTCCCATCAGGCCCCTGAGCGCCTGAGGCAGCTTGCTGCCATGACGACGACCCTGGACAGAAGTGCAGTTGGAAGAAGTAACTACGGCACCCAAAAGGGGGCGGGGTGACCTCTGTTCTCTTCCTCACCTTCATGGACTTCCTGTTTTCTCGGTTGAGCTCCTGCTCCAGCTTGAAGACGTCTCCCACCGTCATATCTTCCTCCTCTTCATCCAGGCTGCTCAACAAGCTCCTTTTCCCTCCTCGCTTCGGCCTCCTTTTCCTCCCCTTGGTCGTCTCCTTCGCCGCCGCTTCCTCCTCCACTCTGTAATCCTGATCGCCTTCGTCGTCCACGTAGCTCAAGCTGTCCTCCTCTTCGTCAGAGGAAGGCGCTGCTGCTGCCTCCCCCAGGATGGAAGCGAAGGCCTGCTGGACCACCGGGCTGACCCCGTCCTCTGAGGACAGACGACTCGTTAAAAAAGAGCTCAAAGGTCACAGAAAAGAGGCCTCAGCCAGGTTTCTGTTAAACCTCCATCCAGTGAGACAGGAAATGAATTTAACGAGCCCGAATCCTTAAAGACCTTCAGATAATTTAGACGCTAATGAAGGACAGCGGCTCTAGAGGACCGACTTAGTTCAGATCCTGATTTTCAAGGTTTGGTATTAATTCTTTCGTAACTGATTTACACAAATACGCAATTCTGCAACATATCAATACTAATATTATATTAATATTAGCACTGCAACAATCGGATTAATCGATTATTGAAATAATTTTGTGATTGATTAATTGTTAACTGCAGTACATTGACTCTAATAGATGCCTTTACCAGATAGAGCGACAAACTCAGAGCAGGAATTAGATCAAAAATGTAAAAAAAAACAGGTTTTTCCATTTAAGATAAAAACAATGTTTTGGTCCATCAATATGCTCTATCCAGAACTCCGCAAGTTGAAAAGTTATAGTTTCACCAGGTTCAATTTCGTCAAACTTCTTTATTAAGGAACCTT